CAGCCCCGGGGCTGAGGGGGGGGGGGGGGAATTCTGGGGGTTGGAGTCCACCCATCTTAAAATTGCTAAGGTTGAGACACACTGGTCTGGATTGACAATGGAGTAACCTGGTTTTGTCCTTGCTCCATTCCTTTAATGCCCCTTCTCCCTTTTAACATTTCAGTAGACCTTTCTTTCTGTTCTTTAGGTAGACTGTAGAGTCAGTCAGCAGAACCCTTCTGCCGGCATGTGTGAATTGGGATTCATTCAGACTCTATTTAGACAGCATATTTTAACACTAAGATTGTCAAAACTAATAAACTAACATCCCAAGTTGACTTCTGAGACAGTCTTCTTTGGCTTTTCTGATGGTTTTGTCTTTCTGATGGTTTTGATCCTTTTTAGCATTAATTTTAAATCTTTATTAAGAATTTATATTATTTGGAGTACTGTTTTTAGTTGCGTTCATTGTTTCTTTAAAGGAGACCAGATATCAGTTACTGCAGCTGCGGCCCACTCAGAGGGCATCGTGGATTGGCTATGCAATTGCATATCATTTGTTAAAAGATTATGACATGGCCTTAAAACTATTAGAAGAATTTAGGAAAACACAGCAGGTAAGATTTTATTCAGAAGAGGTCCATCCTGATGTCCACAGATGAGAATTTGAGTAGCTGAACTGTTCTGTGAGAGCGACTCTGTTCTATTGTATTTAAAAATTATATCACCAAGGCCTAAGGGAAAGAAAGTGCAGCTTTTAAAATGAAATTCTGCCTTAATTAATAGTTTTTGCTTCAGTTAGTGGGAATATGTGATGTGCATTTTGAGTAAAAAAAACTAGAGTTTTCCATAAAGCAATTTTGCTCTTCAAAACCAAATTGTGGCCTTTGTACAGAGCACGGTAATGAAGCAACCTGGAATATATTCCTTATGTTGTATAATTTACAATGCAAACTTCTTGTATGTTCACCACTGAGTTCAGTGACCTACTGATTACTTTCAAAGTGATGCTTTGATTTTTACACTCAGAGGGGCTATCCTTGTACTGAAATATATTATAATGCCAGCGCAACTGTTGTCAGTTGAAACAGCCTTTTCATGATGCTGAAGTTGCCCATTTCAAAAGCAGCAGAGAAAAGTCCAGTGAAATGGAGGAAACAGTCCAACAGATCAGCTTCTGCTCTGAAATGTTTCAAGTGCAGACTTTTGCTAAACTGTTTAAAGCCAAGTATTGAATGCCTCCTGGTCTCTTTACTAATTTGTAAAAAAATGTACTAATGCTTCCCAACCAGTTACGTATTCTCTGTCGGGTTATGTTTCAGGTTCCCCCTAACAAAATAGACTACGAATATAGTGAATTAATATTGTACCAGAACCAAGTGATGAGAGAAGCAGATCTGTTTCAAGAATCTTTGGAACATATAGAAACTTATGAGAGGCAAATCTGTGATAAACTCATGATAGACGAAATTAAAGGTAGGTTCTTTTTCTTTTCACGTGCCTCTGTCGTTAATTTTTTCATATCCATGTTTCTTTTCTTATGGAACTATAAATCAGAGGTTCCTTTTTTCCCTTGGCCATCCCTTATATAAACTGGTAACCTACAAAGTATAACTTTCGACAAGCATTTTAGCTGCCTAAGGTTTGTAGTCCTGATTGTCCTGTGTACCACTGCTGTGACACATTGGCACCATTTGAGCTGTTCTAACAATCTAAAAGATTGCTGGGCAATTTCAGCTACAAATCACGCTTTTATTCACTGGCTGTAACTGTTCCCAATGTGACCTACTTTCTTTCTTTCCTCTTCACTCTGCATTCTGTTTACCTGAAGGTTGCCCAGCTTTACAGCCATTCCTAGATAGCAAACTTAAGTTGAATTCAAGGTTTTGTCACTGGCTGACAAATCCCTAAGAGCTGGGACCAGTTTGAGAAGATAACTGGAAGAGGCATTTTCAGGATCCACCGCTTTTGATTTCTAGCCTGATGCCTTAACTACTACACCAAACTGGTGCTCATTTAGAAAACTTTAGCCAAGTTTTACTTTTAGATCTCGCAGCCCAAAGATTTCAGTTGAAGCCTGGAAAAAATGCTTTGGGCTTCTGTGATCTTATGGATATTTGTTCAGAAATAAAACTTCACTCTACTGAGAGGTCCGTATTCTCAAGTAGGTTTGCACAACAATGCAGTAAACTAAGAATAGAAAGGCACTGTAGTGTGGTGACCCTTTTGCACTTGTCCCAGGTTTAAATCTGCCTTCAGTTGTGAAGCTCATTCAAGACCTTGTTTCATTCACTGTACTTTCAGCCTAATACGCTGCCCAAAATTGTAAGGGAAAGATTAATATGATACATGGAGATCCTTGGAGGAAAGGCAGGATATAAATATAATCAATGGATGCTTCTCTATGTGTGCAAAGTATTTTGAAAATTATGATGACCAGTTTCTTACATCAGTCCTGTTTATGACTCATGGCATATTATGGTTGAGGGAGACACGTGGGTGTCAGAATATGTGTACTATTATTGTTACCAGCCAGTGTTTTAGAAGCAAATGTAAGAATTGCCCCTTTTCAGCCTCCAAAGCTTTTCCATTTTTGAAGTTGGGTGTTATTATATTATTGCTGTAGGGGAAATGTTGCTGAATTTGGGTCGCCTCGAAGAAGCTGCTGAAATATACAAAGAACTTCTTGACCGGAATGCAGAAAATTGGAGTTACTACGAAGGCCTGGAAAAAGCTTTACAGCCACGTAAGCGGTGGAATTGTACATTTTGTCTAAAGCATTTTGGGGGTTCTGAATAAATATGGTGTCACAGGAGCCTTATGTTTGGGGAAATAAATATTCATTACAATCTCTCTGAGCTTAAACTGTGTGTCGCAGTGTAGTGTTTGATTGCGACTCCGCTGTAAGAAGATACTTAAAAAGAATATCTCCCTATTTGAACATAAGATGTTTAACTATTTCAGTTGTTTGTTATTCTCGAAAACAGCATCTCAAATTCACTATCACTTCTAATTCTGAGTTGCTCTGTGGAAGGGAATTTTATGCCCTGTGTTTATTGGGAAACTTCCTCAAATTAGAAAGTCTATGTTGAGATGCATCCGCTTAAGTGAAGCCAAAACGTATTAGGATGGCATGCTAATTGCTGAGGTGGAATAATTCGCACAAGAATTCTCTAGTTTAATGGAGCGGCTGTGAATTGTAAAGTGACTTGTAGAAATGGAAAAGAAGTATTGGATTTAACGCTTGCACAAGTATGGATACGGGCCTTCCGCTAATAGAACAAATTCAGGCAGGTGAAACAAAATAATTGGATTCAGCTCAATAAAGCCCTATTGATACAGTGTTTTACATTGCTGTTTGTTCCTGAATTGTAGGACTTTAAAACTTAACAACTCCAATTTTACATTTGTCATCCATCAATAGACTCTTTAGAAGAGAGGCTAGAATTGTATGAAGAAATAAGCAAGCGACATCCACGAGCTGTTTCACCTAGAAGGTTACCTTTAAACTTTGTCACAGGTAATGTTGCGTTATTTCTATAGTACCACTCTAAGACACTTAAAAAGCTTTAGATCACTTTCAGTTCCTGGTATTTTTTCCATCTGCATGTCATCTTCAGTGAAAGATTTCTCTTTTTTTTTAACACAACATATTTTATTTTGTTTAGATACAGTCATAGACCAAAAAGCAATTTTCAGATACAAAGCATCCAGCATAAAAGCTTAAGAGCTTTTAACAGAAGCTATGCATGGTTGGATTTTGTTCAGATCCAATAACTTATAACAGTTATTGCCATGGCAGAGAGCAGTACATATAAATATTCTTGATGGGGAATATGATTGAATCTCCCCATCAATGCCATTGACAGCAGAGCGTCTAGACCCACCATTTGTAAGGGTATAAGAATGTGATAAAGGGTGGGAGAGGTGTGAAGTATTAGCTTTTTCTTCTCTTCTACGTGGAGCTGCTGTATTGTTATGGTCCACTCCTTTTTTCAAACTGTGGAGTCCCTGCAGTTCTAATATCAGGCTCTTAATTTCATTCCTAATGCCTTTCAGCTTCTCCATAAAGTCTCTGAGAGGTGATCCAGAATGTGGGCTGAAGTGTCACCGTTAGGAGAGTGACACTCGGTTCTATCTATGCTTTTCATCCTACCAGATGAGGTGGTGGGACAAGATAATGTCTTAGATGGAATCCATTGAACTGAAATTCAGTAGAGGCAAGATGGAAAAGCTGTAAATAGTTCGTCCAATTAATAATGTTCAACCTGTTTTTCAACCTGCAGTTCCCCTAAATAATTATATTCCTAATTTGAGGATTCTCATGGGTCCAGCCTTGTTTCTGAAAAGTATGGGTTCCTTATGTGTCCCCTGCCTAATGCTAATATTGCATCCCTGAAATTCAGCTGCAAATTGTCAATTTTTGGTGATGTGATCTCAGGCCATTTTGGAAGGAGGTTGGAAGGGCGGGCTAGGAATTGGGGTGGAAGTGGTTTCTGCCAAAACACATCTCATTTCTATTTTCACCGTAGAAACCCCACAGAACCCATCCCAAAGGGCAAAAAAGAAATCAACGCAGCCCCTTTGGAGATGCCAAAGTGCCACCAGATGTCCTTGTGTAGCCCTCCAGAAGTTTCGGAATCTGGTTTGGCTCCTTCCCCAGATTTAAGCTGAAATACTTATTATAGTATTTTGGGGCTGCCTGTCCTTAATGGCAGGTATAATTCTCAGGCCACTTCAGTTAGTCCTAGAATCACCCTTGTACAGTTAGTACAACAAAGCATTTATAAACAGGGGAAGGAAGTAATTTTTGGAAGCCTGTAAAGTTCTGTTGGGGCATCTCTGAGCCCAGTGGTTGGACTTACTGTGGAATGTTCATCTAGCTGCATAAGAATTAGATATTTATTATAAAACGATTGACTCCATCACCTTCTAAATTGAAATTTCCAAATTAAGATTATTTCTCAAAACTTGGATCACTTGCATATGGATCAGCCACAAAATAATAATAATAATAATAATAATAATAATAATAATAATAATAATAATAATAGCTGATTCTTACGCGTATTTGTATATTTTCTGTATATAATCACAGTCAATTTAGCATTTGATGTACTCCAGCAGCTAATAATAGCCAGTGGTTTTAGTGGGTCAGGGTCTCCTTAAAACTACCGTGTAGGGACTGAACAATTCATGATTGTCATTGATTCCATCCAGAGGTGTTCAGTGGCAGTAGCCGTTATGTACCGTATGCATTTTGGAAATGAATTTGTTCCCGGCAATCCAAAGTTCAGGTTACTTAGCCGCAACCTGTATACATTATGCAAAGTGACCAAATTTCTACAGTTTTTCTAGAGAAATGCAAGTTACAACGTTAACTTCTCAAAATGCTATTTTTTGTATCGTTTAGGTTTTTCGTACTGTTTATGCAAAATGAACACACTGAGTCGTTGTAATATAACCAATATATTTTTGCTTCTAGGTGAAAAATTTAGAGAGCTAATGGATACATTCCTGAGGGTTAACTTCAGTAAAGGTTGCCCTCCTCTGTTTACCACTTTGAAATCTTTATACTACAGTACAGAAAAGGTCAGTTTTCTTACAGTTCCCGCATGCATGCGCACGGACTGACACACACACACACACAGAGCACATGTATGTAGTTTTGTATATTTTACAAATCTTTTAACAGTAATTGTGACTTTCTTGTCTGTCTTCATGGGCTTGATTTGTACAGCTTGGCTTCTACTGGGTGGAATTTTCACCCACTTTAGAAACCAGACTGATAATACCAAAAGGTTTGTTAATTTGCTATGCTCTCCTGAGATGTCACTTTCATATAAAACCTGTTGCAGATTTATTTTATAACAAGAGATAAAACATGGCTTAGAGCTTCTTATATTTTGGGTTCAATCCTTTCAACCACATCTTTTCTCTGTGATGTAGCATCATCTGGAAATAAAGGAACGGACACAATCTAAGCACTTGTTAGATATCATAGGTAATGATATCTATCCCATCCCATAATAGATAGATAACCTTAACCATGATTTCATGAGATGTTTGGGCTGAGCTGAACGGCCAGTTCACGCATGTAGGATCAATTAATTAATTTTAATGTATTAAACTTGTATGCCACCAGACTCTCAATATTTTGACAGCTCACAACAAAAAACAAATCACAATAAAGATCAACCCAAATCACTTAGCGTGTTGCCATATTTGTAATTAGCAACAATTGGGTAAGTGCTGTAATTGTATACCTGAAGCAAAACACAGAAAAAGGGTTTCAGAACATTTGGGATATCTTCTTTTATTCTTGAAGATTTTAAACCGTGTTATTTTGGAGGTATGCTGAACCAATGACAGATAATAGTAATGATCATACATAAAAGACATTTCTTAACAAACTCTCCCACTTGTTTTCAGTCTCTTATTTTACATTTTGCAAAACGTACAGTCAGTCAGAACCTGGGCTTCACTGTAAAGATGCTATATCAAAAGAGAAAATCATATAAAAGAAGCCGTCCTCTAATTCAGTTTCATTGAACTTGGCTGACTACTTGCAAAAATATCGTTAAAATGGAAAGTACTGCATGAGATGAGTTAAAGTAGACTGATCCTGAAAGGATGGAAAGAGGAGTTTGGCAAATTATAGTCAACAAACCTATGAACTTTCTTCCCAGGGTTTGGGATGCTTGAACCAAAGTGGTATATGCTGAACCGTAGACAGCTGCTGTTAAAATGAGAGCCAGTTCAGTGGAGGAGTTGAAAGCATTGGGTTAGAAACTGGAAGACCATAAATACTAGTTCTGCCTTAGGCAGGAAGCTAGCTTGGTGACTTTGGGCCAGTCACTCCCTCTCAGCCCTAGCAGAAGGTTGACCAATGGCAAGCTCCTTCCAAAAATCTTGCCAAAAAAACTGCAGCAGGGACTTGTCAGGCAGTTGCCAGGAGTCGATTTGGAAGACACACCTATACCCACGCAGACAAATTAAAATAATTGGCCATTTGTTTCTGGACAAAATATAAAACAAACTGTATTTGGCCCTTTGCTGAGGTCCTCATGGCTTGCTCTTTTTCCTGCTAAATCCAGTTCCTCTGCTTCTGCAGGAAAAGTAGAACTAGATGTTAATGTTCTTTGATGCAGATTGTTCCGTTGAGTGATGCATTGTGACTGCTGGAAAGGACTCCATGTCCAACTATATTGGCCTAATACAAGCTATGGAAGCACACCAGTAGTTTTCTCCCTGGTTGCTAAATTTTGCGGTGGCAAGAAAAAAATCGATACGGGACTTTCAGAGAAGCAGAACCATGTGAATTTCTGGATGGCATGTTGTAGGCTATCATAAGTTGCTCTCTGACCCTCTTTTCCCTTAGCTTTTTACCTCTGAAATTAGAATGCTTGATTATAATCTACTTTATATTGATGGTTTAAATAGTGAAAGTTGACAGTCGGGTTGTTCTGTAACACTACCAGTAAGCCCAGTCTCTGAATGTCATCCTTAGGTTGCTGAAATTGCACAACAAGGAGATATGAACAGGCTTGGGCAAATTATGAGAGGCAACGAAATACAAAAAAGGCTTTTTTTAAAAAAAAAATCAGAATCCTAAAGTGAGAAACTATGCACAGTGTAATGAAAAGCATCCTTAGTGGCCACTGACTATGGAATATCTCTTTGTGCGGGAAGAGAATGGCCTGGAATATCCTGGGAAAATTTATTTATTTATTAATTTATTAAATTTATATGCCGCCCATCTCCCCTAGAGGGCGACTCCGGGTGGCTCACAATTAAAATGTATGCATGTATGGTTAGTTGGCTGGAACCCTTAAATTATGCATCTTCTCTGGCGACGGTTCTGTTCAGATTTGCAACGGACTACTAACATTTCATCAGTCTTGCAGGCTTTTCTTATTTGCTACTGCGACAAGTAAGATGTAGGAATAGATCAATCTTTGGTATGAATCCACACAGCTTTTCTTGCATGCAAACTTGTACAGTGCCCACTCTGTCTGTTCTCCACATAACATCCTTTTCTGGCTGTATCTTTCCCCACAGATACGTGGGGAAGCATGCAGTTGTTAAAGAAGCCAAAGTGTAGCACTCAGTGGAACTTCAAGAAAAAGAAAGAATGAAAACGTAGGACATTTTATTTGGAAGATAACTAGGGCTGCTGCAGAAAGAGACAACCTGTAGATGGCAGCAAAGAGATACCGGCAACTCTTTGTCACCATCTAATGGTTTTCCAGGGGAGTGTTTTCAAGAATGTAGCGAGTTGTAAAAAAGTACCTTCCTTTATAACAAGTTAGAAGGGGTAATGTTATTTGTTCATTGAGTGATGTGCTTTATCTAGAGAATGAATGAAGATTCATTAAGACAGTAACCACAGGAGCATTTTAGAATGAACTTTTTAACTCTCTTTTGTAGATTTCAACAATCCAAGAGCTTGTTACCGGTTACGAAACTTCTTTGAAAACCTGTCACTTGTTTAGTCCACATGGTAAGCTTCAGTGCTGAGGAATGTAGCTGAAATACAATATTTAATAAGTGTATTCAGGACTGATATATCTTCAAGGAGGGAACCGTTTCCTGAGAAGCAAGCATTTTAATAATATACTTCCAAACTAAGCTTTGTGACATGTTGTATACGTTGTTGCAGAAAATGGGGAGCGAGAACCTCCAACAACGCTGCTTTGGGTTCGTTACTTCCTTGCACAGCATTTTGACAAGCTTGGCCAGTTTTCCTTGGCATTGGATTACATTAATTCTGCTGTTACTAGTACTCCAACACTAATAGAGTTATTCTATTTGAAAGCCAAAATTTATAAGGTAATTACACTTCCTTAATTATCCCATATTCTGAATAAATATGTAATCTGTGTGTGTATATTTCATACATCTTGATAATACACCTAAAATCAAAGGTAGATAGTGAAGATCAGGATGACCTGTACTTTCAAGACGACAATGTTGTAAACCTAGGTAGAAAATATCTGTGGGTTGATACCCAATACACGAGTGTCAGCTCAAACAGAACATGATGTTAGGGTGCCGGTGCTTTTGAACCTGTAATATTCGGAAGAAAGAGAATTAAGATTTAGCTTCTCCATCATTATTGATAATGAACTTATGCATTGCAGATTCAGTTATTTTGTATACAGAGCTTGGAAAACGTTGGAATTGGTCTGCTTTTCAAACCAAGCTTCCTTGATCAGCAGACCTGAATTCACAGTCAATCAAAACTTGGGGATATGGGCAAATTAACCCAAAGAATTATACAAATTGAGCTGGTCTTATATACAGTAAATTACTTTTTCTGGTAAGTAGAATAGAAAAAAGGCATTAAAGAGAAGGCAAAAAGAGAGCAAATTTTACTAGGCTAGTATATAATAGCATTAAGTGATGTCTGTACAAGTAGATTAAGTATGGTTCTGTATTTTTATTTCCATATTAAGTACTGGCATTTGTACACATATGCTAGTATGTGTATAAATGGATGACATAATGTTTCCTACATATTAGATGAATAGGGTAGAAGTGGAAGATTCATTAAGTGATGAATTATGTGTTCTGAAAGTGTTTGCATTTAGTTATTTGCTGTGTTTCTAATCTAAAAGATGCATTTTTTTTTCGTTCTTGAGAAAATCTGGGTTTGATCTACGCTCTAGTGCTGTATAATTATAGATGTGATTTGTCCACCACGATAGTTTTCTAATTATGATCTTTTTAATTTTCATCCGTATATTCTGAGTTTATTTTTCATGTAATGAAATATGGGAAGGATGGCTGTAATTTTTATCATTCTAACGTTCCAAGCCAAAGGAAGATTTTTAAAATATTACCCTTTTGGACTCTGTACAGTGTACTTATAATTGGCGATGAAATTAAAAATGGATTCACTTGTCCAATAGCATGTAGGCAATCTCAAAGAAGCTGCGAAATGGATGGATGAGGCACAATCCTTAGATACAGCAGACAGATTCATCAATTCCAAGTGTGCAAAGTACATGCTACGGGCAAACATGGTCAAGGATGCTGAGGAAATGTGTTCCAAGTTCACAAGGGTAAAAAAAGAATTATATTATTACAAAACATTAATAGAATTAAAGCTTGATTTTGTCCTTGTAAAAAAAAAAAAGCATCTGCTATTATAAACTTTTTTACCAAATCCTTTCAAATATACTTTTGATATACTTAACAGATGCCCGTTAAATATAACGTGGTGCTGGTTTTTAACTGAGTCTAAATAGAAGTTGTGATTAATTTCTAGGAAGAACAGTCTTCTTAGTTTTCCTTGTAGTCTTTAAAATGTGGACTAGAACATGGAATAGTTTCATTATAAATAATTTTGTGGCAAGTATAATCTACTATATTATTCGTGAACAAAGTAATGGAAGCAACTCTATTTTCAGTGGTATTTCCCTAGCAAATGTGAACTTTTGTAACTCAGTGGGATTTACTACTGAATTTTTAAGACTGCATCCTATTTTTTTAAACCTCCAATTCAAGTCATATTAATGATCATCCAGTTCATGCAACTATTGTGTGTTCGTGTTGCTATTTGTACATTGCATTTTGCATTTATGCTCTTCTGTTTTATAAAGATCAATATTTCTTCAGTTATGAAATGGCTAGTGTGAGTTAAGAGTTACAGCCTTGTTCACTAAGTGAAAGGAATTGGTTGGATTTGATTTTCTTAGCTTGAAATCCTACATTTGGGGATAAATGCCTGTATGGTTGGGTTGTGGAGTGCTTTTAGTCTTAGGAGGTGCTGGCCTTCTCTTAGCTAGAGGTGTTTAAACAGAAGCTGGATGACCATCTGTCAAGGATGCTATAGTAGTGGAGTTCTGCACTGGGCTGGGGTGGACTAAGTGATCTACAACAGTGTTTCTCAACCTTGGCAGCTTGAAGATGTATGGACTTCAACTCCCAGAATTCCCCAGCCAGCATTCCCTAGCAGAGTTGAAGTCCATGCATCTTCAAGTTGCCAAGGTTGAGAGAGACTGATTTACAAGATCTCTTCCCAACCGTAACCATTTATAATAATGCATTTATAGAACTCTTCATGAAATTCCCTGGATTCTTGAACTGTCGGTTATTATGTTTATCATTATTTATTTATTTATTAAATTTATACACCGCCCATCTCCCCCAGAGGGTGATTATTTGCAACTGATATATATATATGACAATACTGTTTAATCACTTTGAAATACAGATAGGTCTTGATTAGCGCAGTTAATGAAGTCCACAAAATGGTCACGTCATTTGAATTTGCGCTATTCAAAGTGATATTTCTATGGAAAATATGGTAATTGCCTCTAGCTCGACAGAAATAGGCCATGAAAATTTTTAAGCATAAATTTTTATATGTACGTTAATGGAATGTTACAGTAAAGGATAAAAAGAATGTACTTACAATTTAATTGCATGGTGAACGACGTCACAGAATAGCTATAGAAAGCAAAAAAAAAAAAAAATTCTACCATAGATTCAAGCATGCCAACATCCTATTTTAGCATTCCTATGACCACATTCATGTTGTTCAATTACATCGGATTTTTGCTCTAATATAATAACGAGCCTCTTCTTTTTAAAACTTAGTACAAGTTTTCTCTGACAGAATCTTCCTTTTCTCCATTTTGCACCCACAAAGTTTAGCGGCATCTAAACCCCCAACTGCAACGGCACAAACCCTCAATTGTGCATGCACTAGCTTTGCATTAACTGAATTTTGGGTCACATTAAACACGGCCTGGTATCAATTTACAATTCTCACTAAATCGAATATTGCATTATTCGAACTCACACTAATCGTGACCTACCTGTACCTCCTTAATTTCTTCCCCCATCTGACGCTGAAAGTTTCCACAGTCCTCTCTGATTGGAATAGTGCCACTTTCACAATCTCCCACTTAACGGAACAATGAAAAAATAATTAAAAATGAAAATTTAAAAATTCTGAAAAATGCCTTCTTAAAAATAAAACTTAAATCAGTTGCAGTCTGGATGGAAGGCTGTCCAAAGCGTCTGGAGGCTAAATTTGGGGAAATGTATTCTTCTAAATAAAATCTGTTTGTAAAAAGCAGAAAATCGTATCATTGTGACCTGCAGGAGGACACGTAAGTATCTCCAAGGGCTGTAAGAAGAAGGACAGAGGTAGAGATGACGAAGATGATGATAATGACAGTGATGAAGCATAAGATAACAGAAGTGTTCTTATAAGATGTCTTGATGGATAAGACTATTTCTAGAGTATTTCTGAAGTGCTGTTATTATTTTCAGGAGGGGACTTCTGCAACAGAGAATCTCAATGAAATGCAATGTATGTGGTTTCAGACAGAGTGTGCGTTAGCTTTTCAAAGATTAGGAAAATACGGGGATGCTCTGAAACAGTGCCACGAAGTGGAGAGGGTAAGTCAGCCAACAGATACCCTTTTTCCTGAGTACCACTTCCCATAAGGGACGTGGGTTTGATTAGTCACCATGCAAAGAGCATCCGAAAGGAAAGAGAAGGATCCCGAATTTAAAACGATCCTGCCACAAAACAAAATCAAATAGAAGGGGGGGAAAATTCGATCTCCGTTACCATATTCTCAGCTCATCTAAGAAAACTTTTCTGATTTAAACTTACTTGGAAAAACACCTGACCTTCCTTTCACAGCAATTGCAGGGTTTGAAAGGGCTTTATAAAGTTGGAAGCCTTTTTTCCTGCTACAAATTGTGTATTTGACTGTTGCGTCGCCATGATTCAAAGGGAACTCAAGAGCGGGTACACCTCCAGAAATCAGGAGCAGGCAGGCATTAAACGCTCTGATCAGCAAAGTGTGCATTTGTAGTGAAGCACAAATGCATTTGGAGAAAACCATATGAACATTCTTCTGCTCCACAGATCCCTGTGGGTCTGTTTCCAGCCAAGGAGCCACATACCTGGAAGAGTGTGAACCATTTTTTTCTTCTTCTGCTTTTTTAAGGGATGAGGAAAAAGTTTTATATCCAGAAGCTTCACATTCCGACTTCCACCCTTTTTTACATTTTTAGGTTGTTTTTTGCCCAAATTCATACTGCCAATATTAGATCATTCAGTCACCAAATCCTTTTGCGCAGTCTCTTCTTGTTGGGGAGCAGGTGGTAAATAAGATGCTAGGCGTTGTGTTGCTCATCCCATTCTGGACAAATGCTGAAAAAGTATTTCTCATTGTTAGATTTTTTAAAATTCATTTTGATGCACTAGTTACTGAGAAGCAATACACCATCTTTTTAGGTGTATTCAGTGATACACTGAACCCTAAAAAATTAACTGCATTGTGGAAATGGTTTCCTTTTTTCTGTTTTGTTTCAGCACTTTTTCGAGATCACAGATGATCAGTTTGACTTCCATACGTACTGCATGAGAAAGATGACCCTGCGTGCCTATGTTGATCTCTTGAGGTTGGAAGATGTTCTGAGAAAACACACTTTTTATTTCAAGGCTGCTCGATCAGCAATTGAAATTTACTTGAAGCTTCATGACAACCCCCTAGCCAGTGAGAGCAAAGAGCAAGAAGTAAATTCAGGTATTTACGCTTTGAGCAGAATTTATTTCCAAAAGATGATTCCAAAAGTTGGATTATTTGCTCTAAGAATTTAAAAGCCACGTTTTGTTTTGTTTTGCTTTCAATTAAAAAGTTTCAACTTGGTGCCTTTATCTTTGGTGATTTAGAGGGCAGGGAGCATTCTGGGAATAATCAGAGTGCCTTTAAGAATCTAGCACAGTTGTAAATCAGCATATAAGTTACTGCTAAAAGCTTGTAATTGAAAGAGCCACTCTGCAGTGAGATGGGGGGTGACAAATTTGAAATATAAATAAAGAAAAAATAAGAAAAAAGAATCTTTGACATGATGTTCATCCGCTAGACAGCTGGACTTGTTGGCAATGTGTATTTGAGCTATATCTTTTCCGCCTTGAGTTGTAAACGTTCCTTCAAGTTCAGAAAATAAATAGCAGAGCATTTGATTTGGATCACCCCCTGCCATCAGGCTGAAATGATACAGATCTGGCACAGCTTTTCCATGACTGTAAGAAGACATTTTGCTGGTATCCTTGAGTGATCTGTTGAAGGAAAGGCTGAGGTAGCATAATGGTATGTGGGAATGACCTTGGGAGACAGGGAAGAGATGCTGCCTAGGGAACGATCAGGTAAGAGGGGGCATAGCCCGCAGCTGTGTAACGGGAAGAGAAAGCAACTCAGAAAGGAACCTCCCTAACATATCAGGCTGTAAAAGTGATGGTGGGAGTTTCAGACTTACAAGATTCTGTTAATGTAGCCTTACAATAAAGTAGAATTAGCTCATCTGGTCATGGTTCCTGTCTGGTCTACCTGGGAAGGCTGACAGGTAAGGCATGGATTCTTAACTCAAGAAGGCTAAGACAGGTTCTTAGGCCGCTGCAAGTTTGTTATATTTGCCTTACTGCTGTTGTTATAAGCTGTTGAAGCAAGTTCAGAGGGATAGAAGAGGGCCTTTTTGCAAAATTGCCATCTGTTCTCCAAGTGAAACTCTGGCTAGCCACAGACAGCATAAGTGACCTCACAAATGATTGTTGGAAAAACTCTCCCTCCCTGCTGGAACATTAAACCCAGTCATTGCTGATTCATCGCATATACTCTGAATGCTAAGGCAGTTCACTGCTTTGGATTCAAAGGGAAAAATATGCCTCAGAGCAGTTAACTAACTCTAAAAGCTGCTGCTTTTCCCAGGATCTCTGGGAATCACTGCAGAAATCTGGAGAAATCTGGTTTAAGGAATTCACACTCTATGGTACCATTTTTTCATTTGAGTCCAAAGCACTGTTTGACCCTAGTGAATGTCTTCTTATTTTTAATTAATTATTTCATTTCAGCTGTTTTTGTAAGCGAGGGTAAGTAGTAACTCTTATAGCCGAATGCAATAGCTAATTTGCATTTTATTGCCTTTGTCATTTTTGAATCGTCGTCCCCCTGACATTGATTCAGCTCCTGTTAAAATATATATTCTGTTTGCTACAGAAAACCTTTCTGCCAAAGAACTTAAGAAGATGCTCAGTAAGCAAAGGCGAGCACAGAAAAAGGCTAAACTTGAAGAGGAGAGAAAGCATGCAGAAAGAGAGAGGCAGCAGAAGAATCAGAAGAAGAAACGAGATGAAGAAGAAGAAGAAACTAGTGGCCCCAAGGAAGAATTAGTTCCTGAAAAACTGGAAAGGGTAAACTTGAACTCTACTTTTTGCCTGCTGCAAATGTCTGTCCTACGTTGTTTTGAGTAAGGAAAACGGTTACGAATGGTTGGGTTAATTTTCTTAGCCTGCCACTGGGTGACTGTGGGTTACTCTCTCTCTCTCTCAGCCCAACCTCCCTTGCAGCATTGTTGCGTTTGTGAGAAAAACTGGAGAAGGGAGGGCTTTTCTCCTGGAGGGAAGGCAGGAGATAAATCTAACTCATAAAAAATAAATGTGACTGGCACCCCCCATGGGGACGCAAGACAGAACCCTAAAACTCATGCCAGTAAGCTCTTTCTCAGGCTGATGCAGGGCCTGGAAACAAATCTGCCTGTGCATTTCATCTAACCTTAGCCTGTGAACTGTGACATATTCTAATCCCAGGATGACGTTTGAGCTGATTTTGGAGACCTTCCTGCTTTTGGAGGACTCTTCAGAGGTTCTAATAAGAGATCAGAAATAAGTGTTTCCCTTGTCATCTTTCTCCCTTCCTCTTCCAATTGGGAAAGGTTATGTCCTAACCAATTCCTATAACCTGAAGGCTTGCTTTTAGTTTCAGTCCCTAGCTAACAGCTGGACAAGTATGACTAAATTTGGTTGTAGCTATTGGGGTAGATGGAAGTTAGAACCCAGATATCAGATGTCTTCTGAAGTGATGGTGCACCTCAAACAATCCTCTTTGATCTCTCTCTATCCTAGGAGTAACACTACTCAGTTAAATATTATAAAAAGGGGAAAAGAGCAAACATGTGGCATCAAATTTTAACAAGCTTACTCTTTTGAAATTACTTTCTCGTACTCCTGTTTGTAACTTATTCAAATTTCTTTTGTTGAAACAGGTTGAGAATCCATTGGAGGAAGCTATTAAGTTTCTTATACCTCTGAAGAATCTTGTGGCAGATAACATAGACACCCATCTATTAGCCTTTGAAATATATTTTAGGAAAGGTAAAATACGTGCAGCTGTAAAATATGACAAGTAGATGATTTTGTAACGCTTACATATGTACATTCTCCCAATACCATATTCTGATCAATATGTATTTAATATTTTAGCATCTACAATTATCTGTACAGAATACATATAGAAGTTCTAGATTAGTTTAATAAAATATATTTTAGATTGTTATAATAACAGACAAATATGTTTCATTTGCTGCATAAATTTATTAGTCCTTGATGTCAATTGGATAACCTTATTTAAGTAATAATATTGCATTTTTTCCTGTTTATTCAGGAAAGTTTCTGCTAATGTTGCAGTCAGTGAAAAGAGCTTTTGCTATCGATGACAATAACCCTTGGCTACATGAATGTTTGATTAAATTTTCTAAGTGTGGTAAGTACAAAATAAAATTAGCAGTTTGTCGTAAAATTGTGCTGAGTTTCCTGAAATAAAATACACAGTACACCTTTGTCTACATCCTGGATTGGGGCAATAACATTCTTTTTTTATATTCTTAGTGTCAAATCATAGTAATTTGCCAGAAATTGTGAACAAAGTCCTTACCCAAGAAATGCAGAAGATTTTTATTAGCAAAGATTTGGAAAGTTTTAATGAAGAATTTCTCAAGCGCAATTCTACCTCTATACGGCATCTGCTTTCAGGTTTGTACTGACTGGTGTATATAAACGGTGATGTGTTGACAAGCCTGCGTGTCACTGTAGGGATAAACTGTATACAAAAGGACAGGAACAGCACAACATTGCATGCTCGATTCATATGGCAAAATGTTCCAAATTCATTACCATTTTATTGTATTGTAAAATACATGGTCACAAGCATAGATAGAGCAATAAAGAAGCTAGATTATCTTTTCATTTTACTTAGATAATTTCTGATGAATACCTGGGTCTTAATTTGTCTTCCCCTTCAGAGAGAGAGGAAAAAAAGATGCGTACGTGTTGTTGTGACTGCCTTTTAATTTAGTTGTCTAAGAGTCCAGTGAATAATGCCATCAGCAGAAAGATCTTTTTCCATGCAATAAAAATCTCTGATGCTCGTATCTCAGATCAGCTATAATGACGAATGTATTCCTCTAATGCATAAAACCACTGGGTTTTTCTTTTTATAAAACTAAAATCTCCTTTTGCTTTTAACAAGCTGCTTTTTTCTCTTGGAGGTGCCAAAATGATGTATTTCCTGGATAATTCAAGGCAAGAGAAAGCGATTGCTATTGCTACTAGACTAGATGAAGCCATGAGAGACAGAAATGTGAAGGTAAAAATAACTTTTCTTCCTAGTTTGTGATCGCAGATAGCAGATCCTTTAAATACATGTTTGATTCCTTCGTGAAGGAATGGCCTGCCAGGTTGTGGAAGCGTGCTTTGATGTCCAGAATAATTTCATATGTAAAAAGTAAATCGGATGTAGAATTAAGTTCTGACTGAAAACTATTCCTAGACTGCAGCTAAATACATGGATTTGTACCACACCCCAAATTCTATGCATACAGTCTGTGTTTCAGTTACAGTGGTACCTCGGGTTACGAACGCCTCTGTTAATTAACTTTTCGGGTTACGACCAGCTCCGGCTGCAAAAATTTACCTCGGTTTGCAAACTCCGCCTCAGGTTACGAACTGGATCCGTGGCCATTTTCCCTCCCGTGACACGGGCCGCGGCCCTTTTTCCGCCCCTGACACGTGGTCCACGGCCATTTTTCCGTCCCTGACACGTGGTCATAGGGAGGGGGACTCTCCCTCCAAACAATAGCCCCCACCACGCCAGAACGGATTAACGGTAATTACATTGAACCTTATGGGGAAATTTGCTTCGGGTTGCAACCAATTCAGGGTGCGACCAGAGTCACGGAACGAATTAAGTTCGTAAACCAAG